ACACTCGTTGCTTTGTTTTGCCTTAGTTACGTGATGGGGAGTGAAGGCATGAAGCAGATGGCCCGTGCATCTCTTCTTATTTCGGGTCTCGACGGTCTAGGACTTGAAATAGCCAAAAATGTTGTTCTTGCTGGGCTTAAATCTGTAACTCTTCACGACACTAAGAATCTAACGCAGTCAGATATGTCGACCCACTTCTACTCTAACGAAAAAGATTTGGGGAGAAACCGTGCTGAAATAAGCCGAGCAAAGCTGGCTGAACTAAATGGCTACGTCAGCGTCAGTGTTCTTTCGTCACCTAAGCTTATCGCAAGTGATATCACATCCTTCGATGTCTTTGTCTTATGTCAAGATACCTTTGACGAATGTGCCCGATTAGGGCAAATTTGTCATGATCTTGGCGTTAAATTCATTTGTGTTGGCACACGTGGTGTCTTTGGGCAACTTTTCTGTGACTTCGGTGATGAGTTCACTTTGACAGATGCCACTGGTGAGGAGCCAATCTCTGTTATGGTGCAAACAATTGAAAAGGTATTTCTATTTATCATAATGTTTTAGTCTGAAAATGCAATTGTTACATGTCTCGAAGAAACACGGCACGGTTTCGAGGATGGAGATTACGTAACATTTAGTGAAGTAAAAGGAATGGAAGAGTTAAATGGGTGTGAGCCCCGTAAAGTCACCGTAGTTGGTATGTTTGTAATACTTATTCGAGACCATCAGGTCCAGTGGCGTTTACGATAGGAAATACTTTGGGATTCACTAAACATACATCTGGTGGTATTTGCACACAAGTTAAAATGCCTAAAAAACTTTGCTTTGTGAGTCCTTCTTTTGAAATAGGTCTCTATGATACATTTTCTGACCCATGCCTTCATATTTCAGAAAAGTTTTTTGGATAGTTATGTCGCTCCAACTATGATGATCAGCGACTTTGGAAAGTTCGATAGATCATCTCAGCTTCACTTGTACTTCCGCGCGCTCTCAAATTATTTATCTCAATATGAGACCCTACCGCGTTCATGGAATTTAGACGATGGAAAGAAGTTTCTTGAAGTTGCGCGCAAATTAAATGATTCTTTAAAAGCAACACAAGCCTACGTGGACCAAATAGATGAAAAGCTGATCAGCCTCTTTGCGAGCACATGCTCTGGTCAAATTTGTCCCATGCAAGTAAGCTTTTCTTGTTCATTTTATTATTTGTACTCATAGGCTATTATGGGTAGCATTACATCGCAAGAAATAATAAAGGCTACGTCTAGTCGCTTTTCTCCCATTTTACAATGGCTATATTTTGACGCAACAGAATGTCTTCCAGAAACTATTATTTCAGAACCCTTTGGTAGCCCTATCTCTGGATCAAAACCTACCTTCGTAATTGCTGAAGGTGATGCAGCTCCTAAGGGAGGACGATATGATGGCCAAATAGCTGTATTTGGAAGGAACTTCCAAGAAAAACTAGGAGACCTCAAGTATTTTATCGTAAGTCTCTTTTAGATTGTAGATATAAAGACCAAAATGCTGTGGCCTTTGTCGCAATCTCCTTTAGCCTTATAGTGTTGGTTCAACCTTGTTTTCACAACTGGGTCAAAGCGTCAGGGAGACCTGGTGAAATGTACCTGGTCTCGTCTCCTCTGCCATAATTTTCGTGATTTACGGT